CATACTTTGGACATGTTGTGAAGAGAGACCGGTCCTTGGAGAGGGACATCATGCTTGGGAGGGTTTAGGGATGGCGCAGGAGGGGGAGGCCCTCTGTGAGGTGGATTGATTCAGTGACTGGAATAATCGGGACGGGAGTGTCAGAGACAGTGCGATTGGCACAGGACAGAGCAGAGTTTAGGGCTGTTGGACAGATGGTCGCTATGAGTTGCAAGCGACTTGACCGCACATAACAGCAACAACAGCTGCTAGTGTCAGCTCTTGAGAGTTGGATTGCTAGTCCAAAGGCCGAGTGTCTCTAGCACTTGGAATCCACTGAACCTGCTGTGGAATTCCAGTAAGATGTAGATCTACAAAGTTCTTCTTTTTTTTTTTTTCTCCTGATTTTATTATTCAATTTCTTTTTTTTCTATTTAATGTAGTCTTCGGTGGCTGGGAAGTCTACCTTCCCGAAACCAGAGTCATTTCTTTGTTTTCCTTTCTCCTTTTTGTCTCAATTCATATGGAGTGATTTGTCCCCCCATCTCATTAATTCTATTAATTCTATGTCCCATTGTTTCAGGTTTGCCTCTTTGTCCTTCCAATGTATTACCTATTTGTGATATTCACATCTTAATATTCTGAATTTCAAATTGCTTTGTTTTGGTATGTCTTCTAATTTTCCATTTATTCTATTTCTTTGGTCTTGCATTGCATTAAAATAATTCTTCTATGCTTTTTGTATTTTTCTCAGTCTATAGAAAATATCACTATTTTTTTAAAAAGAATTTATATCAGAAAATTCCAGTATCTTTTTCTTCCTTTGAATAATTTTCTGGTTGAATGTATTTGTCACTTTTTTGATGCCATTTTGTCTTGATTTTTTTGAGCGATTTAAAGTTACCTGTTGCCTTTGAGACATTGTGATGTGTTTGTATTATTTTATCTTGCTAAATCTGACTGAGGCAATGATTCTGAAGTTTTTTCTGACATACTTTGGACATGTTGCAAGGAAATCACAGTCCTTGGAGAGGGACTTCATGTTTGGGAGTGTGGAGGGACAGCGCAGAAGGGGAAGACCCTCTTTGAGGTGGATTGATTCAGTGACTGGGGTAATCAGGGTGGGTGTGTCGGAGAGAGTGAGATTGGCACAGGATAGAGCAGGGTTTAGGGATTTGTACATAGGGTTGCTCTGAATCTCAAGGGAGGGAACATAATAACAACAACATTGCCCAATGGGACCAAGGAAAAGGGGAAAGAAAAACTAAACAAACAATAAAAACGACCCCAAACAGAATAATGAAAAGAAGGAAAAAGGAATACTTAAGTCCAGAGTGGTATAAATAGATAACTAACCAGCCAAAAAAGATAAGCAAGAGAAAGGGGGGAAAAATAAGCTAAAGAGAAGAAGAAATCAGAAAAGAGAAGCAAAATTAAAGAAGAAACAAACAAACAAACAAACAAACAAAAAATCAGTAAGAATAAATAACAAAGAACAAAGGACTCTTGGGGAAAGGAGAGGGTTGTTTGGCACCTAATTGGTACTCTAACCACTTTTATGGGAGCATGATGTCTGGTCTGGGATAATGTGTTGGATACCCTGTCAAGAGAGTATCTACTTATATGAGATGTGATTGTAGGCCCAAGATGTGTGCTAATCAGGGACAGCATCTTTTCTCTACTAGAGGGTGGTTAAGAGTGCATCCCACAGCCTGCGACCGAGTTACAGCTGGCCTCTGACATAGCTCAGAACTTCTGCCTAGTCAAGGATGGTGTCTTTGCCAGTCCAGGGCGTAGTACAGACAGGGCATCCAATCAGAGGTGACATACACTACTGGTCAACCTGAGATGTTCATAGATCGTAAACTTCATGGGCAGTACACTGTTCTAAGTATAAGACTCCACAGAGAGTACACTGTTCCAAATGTGGACATGGTTCTGACTCCCCAAAAGTACCCAGCAAGAGACAAAGACCCTGGATAGGGGTGGCACTTCCCCTAATGCAAGTGCTGGTTGTAGGCTAGTCAGAGCACCGTCAGTAGTGTGCTTGTCTTCCAGTCATTAGCAATGAAATGGTACAAGCCTGGCCTCAGAGCCTGGTGGTGCCAGCCACTGGGTGGATTAGAGCGGGGAAGTAACTCTTCTGATCGTGAGGAAATTATTGGAACCCATTCTTGGTCATAA